AGATACATACCCTAATGCGGCAACCTGATTGGTGCAAGATGCATACCCTAATGCGGCAACCTGATTGGTGAGAGATACATGCGCTAATGCGGCGATCTTATTGGTGCAAGATGCATACCCTAAAGCGGCAACTTGATTGGTGCAAGATACATAGCCTAATGCGGTAACCTGATTGGTGCAAGATACATACCCTAATACGGCAACCTAATTGGTGCAAGATACTGCGGCAACCTGATTGGTGCGAGATAATACCCTAATGCGGCAACCTAATTGGTGCAAGATACTGCGGCAACCCGATTGGTGCGAGATACATACCCTAATGCGGCAACCTCATTGGTGAGAGATACATACTCTGATCCGGCAACCTGATTGGTGCAAGATACATACCCTACTGCGGCAATCAGATTGGTGCGAGGTACATAATTACCCTAATGTGACAACCTTATTGGTGCAAGATACATACCCTCACTGTGGCAACCTGATTGATGCAAGATACATACCTTAATACGGCAACCTGTTTAGTGCGAGATACATACCCCAATGGGGCATTCTGATTGGTACGAGCAACATACCACTCCAAACGTGGACTTATAATTATCTATTTTTTTGTGTGCGAGGCTAATTTGGCGCCAAATGGCGGAAATTAGGTTTGGCGAACCAATGGGAGGGCTGGACGCGATGAGTGAGCACCACACAGATCACGCGCCCGTAGATAGCACGCAGTTTTAACGTTAAATTAGCGCACCCCAACCCATACCCCCTCCACTCGTGCAATAAATCTTCCCGCGAATAACGTACCGCTCAAAGAAATGAACCGCGTTGGGACTATGTCAGCCTGCGACTAGAGATCATTATCTCTTGGTAAAAGCAGGCCCTGTTATTAGCCACGAGCGTTTTCTCGCCTGCGGGAGAATTTGGGCCTTGACATATCGAGCCGGCGAGAGTTTTGCAGATTATTAGTGTCAGACCCCAGGCAAATTTCTCAGACTCGTCTCAATCTTCCCGCGGGTGGAGAGACGAGCGTATGTTGCGCTTGCAGTGAGGACTTTTTCGCATGTTATAGTGGACAATGTCGGGATAATGTCAGGTGAAGAGAAATTGTCATGGAAACTAATCTTTAGCCTCAACTGTTGATCCATAAAATTAGATTGGAATGGATTGCAAGCTTTAAGAAGGAAACGAAACGTAATCCAATGATTTTTCTTGCCTCTTGCTTGAAATTGATTTAAGAGAGACAAGTTTAGAGAATAAAAACAAACCAATTGAATCAAAGGAGACCAAAATGATGGCATTTGAAATTCCATATTCCGACTGAAGTCACAAGAAGTTAGAACATAAATCAGTGAATCTCAGAAGTCATTTTGTCCTTCAAGGATGTTATTTAGTGTGAATTGACTCCTAAACTGTTTGGTAGAAAAAGTCTTTTCATATCAAAATTACCGGTCACCATGATTTTTTCTCAGAATTCACTCAGTCATGTTCAATTGGCACTTTGAACGTTTTTCGATAAGTTTAATGTTTCAAGTTAGTTGAAAAAAAGAAACTAAAATTTAAACCTAACAGCTTCTTTTGCCTTCAGAAAATAGGAAATACATGACGGAAAAATACCAAACCTACGTAAAAATCTCAGTTATATTAATTTAGAAAAAAAATCGGAAAATCATTGATTTTTGTCCGATGGGATTGCCATATTCAAACTTAATTTTAATCCTATGCAGTTCCTTTTCAAATGTGTCATGGCCTCGAGATAAATGAGCTTTTTATTATCTGTTAAGAGAAAAAAATGCCGCGAATCGCTTTCAAAATTAAGGCATTTCTCAATCGTTAAAGCAGATAAGAGCTTTTGACACAGATTGGCTGCGAATTCGAAGTTTCCGAAATTATCCTTCATGACGCTCTGAACGACCACGAATAGTAGTATTATGGCAATTAAGCTTCCTCCTTTTTAAAAGGAGCAAACAAATATTTGTGTTTGTCGCAGCAGGAGGAAAATATTTTTATCACTAACAAGAGATCTATCTTTTTTCAAACAACACATTTTCTTCTGGAAGAAATATTGTGTTATGAGACACAATTTGGCTTTAATCAATTAATGACAGATGTTGCGTAGGAGAACTTTCTCTGCGTAAGCTTGTGCTAATGTTATTTTGTCCCCCATTATGAATTTTGTGAATGTTTTGATTTATTTTTTCCACATGTTTGGTAGATTAATTTGCAAAACCGCACTAAAGCAAAAGATTACCTGTAAAATAATCAATCCGCGACATTGTAATAAAACTACTCCTTGAGATTATTTCTAGATTTTGATTTTCCCCGCTAAGTAACGATCATTTTAAGACCCCATCGAGTTTTCTTTGTGCCATGAGACTAACTTTCTTTTGAACAGTGATCAGTCGGTTTTCTTTTTCCCTGTTTATTTTGTATTTAAGTCTCATTAGCTCTTAAAATCTGATATTCTTGTGTGACTATTCAAATGAGTCTGTGCATGTCTACAGATTTTTTTTTTAACTGTACGTCTTTTTTGTTCTTCATTTTGAAATGTTTTCTCTTTTCGTACGCATAGAAGTTCATGTATACTTGCGCATCGCCCGAAAACAGTGATGATGCACTTATTTCAAAAGGAAGCACAGCTCGAGTCTTCACACGAAAATTAACTTCTTTTATTCTGACCCAAAAGTATTTTTAAATTTTCCTTATGCAATTAACTGAAAGTTTTGCCATTCAAATCCCACGTTTATTAGGCCAAGGACAATAAGAAAACTTAAGTTTAATTTGCAAATTGTGGGCGATTGAAAAACATGTAGTCTCCGCATGTATTTCACTGTCGCTCTCACAAAACACCTCGAAGCATGGTTCATTGGAAACAAAAAAAGGATCCCTGGAAAGCTTTTGAAAATGTATTTCTCTACTTTTCGTTTTCAAAACAACTTAATCAGTTTACTCCTTGCACCGAGGGCCGAAAAGTTGGACTTTGAAGTACATCATTGGAAAATTTAAAACAATGTTCAAACCAGTAACAACTTTCGTTGCTAAGATATTTAAGTTGTTTTCGCTCAGAATGTGCTAAAACAAATGTTGTTTACCCCCAAAAGCCGTAAAATTAATAAATCCTGAAATTCGAATAACTATCGGCAACTTCATTAAGAAGTACTAACAGCAGAGAAATTTCAATTAATTTCGTGATAAGGGCCAAGTGGTAATAAATCAAATCTCAGGTTTCGCCAAGATATCGTCGCATGGTTGTACGAAAATGAAACAAAAAATCTTTTCACATGTGCTAAATTTCATACAAATTCGTTCAAATATGACAAAAGTGCCTAAGAAAAGTTTGGAAATGAAAACAACACCCTTATGTTATCGGTAAGATTACCTTGAGCCGAATGCAAAGGGAATTATTAAGAAAAACAACAGTTAATGGTTTTCTGTGTTGATATTAACGTTACTTTGCTCATTCGGTATCAAAATAAAAATATCGGAAAATCTGAGGAAACATTTTTGATAATAATAAACTTTGATTTCCATCAAAAGCTAACTCACATGTCAATGTTTTCAATTTCATCACTCACAAGAGAGTCACGATTCGTGCGACTAGAATGACAAGCAGCATCGAATGTCAACAAAAGGGCTTCTCTGTTGAACCAAAATGCAAATATGTCCTTGTTTTCAAGACATACGTTTGAGTAGGAGCAATGGCAAATTGGTAGAAAGTCTGACAGTACACCGGAATAAATAGAAAGGAGAACGACAATCAGCTGTCAAACGTTTGCAAACTATCTCTATTCTCTTAAAAGCCAAAACTAGTAATGGTATAAATTATGATTTCTTTTTTTTCGTTCTTTGACCGAAAGCCGTTTGATTTTCGCCCCTAATGGAACTGTTCGAGTTAAACCATTGCATTATGTTCTTCGAATTTTATGAAAAATTAATGAACGAGTCGACGCAAACGATTTGATTCTCCTTTGATTACAATTCGCATGACATGTTAAATAAACTGGACAAATTTTGTGGAAATAATTCGCGTTTGAAAGGAAGAGGTTTCGCGTTTTACTTTTCTTATCGCACTTTACAAAGGAGCAAAAACCACTGCAAAAAAATGTAAAGAGTTCCAGTCGGTTATAAACGAATAAAAATTCTGTTTTCATTCATTTAGAGACAAGGAAGTCTTTTTCAAATGACATTAAAAGGTTGAAATATAGATTCAAGACATTGGCCCGGTGTTAAAATACGAAAATCATAGAAATATTCTTAGATGTCAAAAGACATATTTGGAAAACATCAGGAACCATCTGCTTTTCTGCTGGAAAGAGTTTGATTTCTGAAGATTTTATTTCGCAATTGTTCACTTTTTTGCGTCTCTGCTCGATTTTCCCCCAAGACAGCTGCTTTTCGATTTCATGGACAATTCAATCTCTATTGTCGAAAGCTGCGAGGGGCCTTCCAATTTACACAGTCCTCTGAAAATTTGAGATTTTTCTGAATAAATCTCGGCTACTTTAGAGTCATTTTAGCTCTCATGAACGCCATCATCTTAGCGTTACATCCTAAAAGAAACCTTAAAATCGAATGACAGGTAGTAATTCGCCTTCGCATCAAAGCGCCGGAACCAAGCTTGTGTGATAAATTTCCTTCATGGCGGAAATCTTCTAGTTCAAAATGATTGCAATTGCCTTATATGGCAAATTTAATAACAATAGAATTTTGGGACTACACGCGGTTTGTTTTTAGGCGAAGACCCTTGAATCTTAAAGCGCCTGAGACGCGTGTATGTCATTTTTTATGCGGCGCGCACTGGGGTAGCTCGACGCTTACACGTTTTCCCGCGCCAAACAGGTGAATGAAGCGCGCGCGTTGCCAATTAACTGTGTTTATGTACAACCTCTTAACAATGGACTGTGGAACATTCAGAATTTGCGAATACAATATTCTCTAATCAAGCTATTGATTCCTCTCTCCCCAACAATATTGCCAGCTGTGACGTCACCAGCTTATCAGGCCGCGATTGTCGACAACTAGAGTACTTTACCTCCGGTAGATGAGAAAATAGCACGTTCAGTGCACAGACTCATCACAAACAAGCAGGAGCCGCGAACGCGAGGGCAATTCGCCCAGCTGAGCTTCGTTCACTCATCGCTCCCGCGCTCGCCAAATGGGGGTTTTCTTCTTAAACTTTTTGCGGGCGCTTAAAGGCCCGACGAAAAATCTCGTCTTGCGAACCACTCTATTCCTGGTGTATTTACTATTTGGCGCGGCGGTCTTCCAAACGATTGAATCGGGCGCAGAACACCGTGAAATTCATCACTTTGACAAAGTGCAACAGCGGATGAAAGAAAAATACAACATTTCGGAGGAAGAGATGCATATTTTTTTCACAGAAATTTCCAAGGCCATCGACGATGGATACTTCGATGTGGCTTATGACCGATGGAGTTTTGCCGGCTCGCTTTTTTTCACCGGGACAGTTGTGACTACCATCGGTGAGTACCACTACCATGTTGTTACGTGAAGTATTTTTTTAAAATTTGCTGAAGCACCACACTTTTAAATTTAGTTATCTCGTTGAATTTTGACTCTATAAGATATCTCCTTGCTGTTTCATATGTCGAGAAACCACCGCAGCTTGTAGTGCGCGGTTTTCTGATAAATTTCTTGAGATCTTGGCGCGATTTAATTTTCATTCAATAGTAAAGTCTTCTTTCGGATATCAATTGCATATATTTTGCACTTGGTGGGAAGCAAAAACACAGTCCGTGCTCCTGTTGTATGTTAATTTTTCGAAATATTAGTTTATTTTGAAACATTGACCAAGATTCCTTCGTTGCTAGCGAACAACTGTCCGTCCTTTCGTCCAGTACTTAAATTCAAGTTTCTAAAGCACGGTTTCCAACGTGATTTGGCGCTGTCAAACTGTAGCGCTCGTTAAAACGCAAAATCGCTCGATAAATCGAATCTTTGGTTTGCCTTTTGGTTGATATAAACTTATTAATTTTCAAACATTTTAGCTGAAAAAAAGAGCTGGTCTTTGGAATTAGAATTTAACGATTCTGTCAAAGTCCTGCCTCCTTTTGTCACGAATTAAAAAAAAGCTCGATGTGTATTGAACATGAATATTCAAACTCTTGTTTCCGATTTGAATCGGAGGCTTGCAGATTGTTTTGTTGTCAGAGGTAGTTCTTTCCATGAATTCATTAGTTAAAACTCAGAAATAGCGCACTATCACTGCGACGAAAAATAGAAAATCGCCGAGTTTTGTAATTTTTCAAACGAAAACATACCATCGGCCGCTCGTTCGAGAATTAATTTCGCCGAGAAGCACAATGTTCTTAGCTCAAGCTGCGTGGAGTCTGTATTATGCAAAACAGCGATCAAAAGATTATGAACTTACAGCAAAGATGACGACAAAATAACAATAGTAGCTTACCGGTTCATTTATTTCTATCACCCCGTGAAAAAATCCAATTTCACCAAGGCGAAAAAATCAAGTTTTCCAACTTTCGGCATATCAGCGGAATAGTGGTTTGGCCGCAATTAGAAGGGATATCATTAAATGCCTATTTTCCTTCGAGTAAATAAAAGATTGAGCCTTGCCTATTCAAAACGCGAATCTGACATTTTGATCGAAATAGAAATTAGCGTCAAATGAATATTTTATTCTAACCATGAAAATACACCGGTCGAGGTGATCAAATTCACTTTGATAGCGAGGCCAAGAAACTGCACGAAAAATAAACTGATTGACCCCGAAGGGTTTCTTCTTTCAAATCCTCCAAGATTTGCGTAGGCTTCCGACACAAAATTGTATATTTGTTTAGAAGCAGCTGTGGTACTAAAGAAGAGGGTCTTTTTTTCATGACAGAGGTGATTAAGAAGCTAAAACTCGGTATAACCAAACAATATACCATAGCAAATCCATCTTGCACAGGTCCAATTCAATTTATGAGGCCAGAGGTTTTGATTTGGCGAGAAATTAATGAGGAAATCTTTATTTTTTGTCGAAAGATGTGGGATTTCTGATTGTCAGAATATGCCACCTTTACTTGACGACTTAGCCACGAATATTCTTTAAAATGTCAAATGTACAAGATTTATTTTCCATTTCGATATTTTTACGAATTTATCATAAATCGTAGAAATAGGACATTTTTTCCTCGGGAACAAAAAAATCAGTGTTTTTTTTCTGGTTTTCTGAATTCGAAAAAAAAAGAAAAAACAGCTCTCACGGACTGTAGAGAAAAAAAATATCGAGACTGCAAAAGGGCATTTGAGGACCAATTTGCTACAGGACTATATTCCATTACTTCCGATCAAACAAAAATGTGGATATTTCTTTATCAATTTCATGTGGTTTTGTTGTTCATACAGAGAATCACGCCCGGTTTTCGTCCTGCTAATACATAATTTTTTCATGACAGACAAACTTCGGCCAGATGAAATGCTAGTGACCTCTGTGTTGGCGGGATTTGAGAAGGACGTGTTTACCCTAAACAAAAATGGAAATAGCGAAAAATTGCTTTCAATAGTATGGTCACCACCTGCCTTGAGGAACTTAAATGTATTTTAACGCGTTTTCTGTTTTTAGCGTATTTCTCGAAGAAAGTGAACGAGAAAGTCGCCCGAATCTTACTCGATAAGCTTTCGGCCCCTTCGAAACATAGTTTCGAGTTAAATATAGCTTTTCAACCGTAACTTGTAATTTCACGAACGAATGATTTTTCCGCTTTCGGACGTACTAAGAAAGAAATGTATATGACAAAAAAGAAAGCTCCATGTTGTATTCAATTTCAATGTGAGAAAAACATTTTGTGGAATAGAGAAAGCGAAGTTTAACTACAAGGCTGGCGTTTTTGAAGCAAAACTCGGTGTTCTTTGGACCGAGTTCAGATTCAGTTGTCGGTTTCGTTCACTCAAAGAAAGAAAAATTAACGACTCCGAAATGTTTCTTTAAGCGGCGCAAAAACGGTTGCATTAACATCTTTTTTGTCACTTGTATTAGTTGGAATGGAAATGAGCTTTCTCGTTGATCCTTGCGGCGTAATAAAGATATTTTCCATCAATGAACGGAACTTCATATCTTCTGAACGTAAAACAAGTCCTGGAAAGAAAAAAAACCTTAGCAAAAAGCAATTTTATTTCATAAAACCGTTTTATTCTGTTAATCAAGAAACTTGGCTCTATTTTGAAATGTGAAATAACTTTCTTTGAAGCGTTTTCATCACTAGCTTAAAAGTAAAAAAAAAGGCGTTATCCTTTTTTTCCGTTTTTTTTAGTTTCGGCGAAACTTTCCTTGAAGCAAAATTCTTACGTCCGAATTTCTTTCGTTGAAAGAATGTTTTTATTTTCATTTTTCCTAGGAATACTGTTTTCTTGAACAATATCTGAGAGGCATAGAATTGTCTTTTCCGGCATATTCTGTAATTTCATTTGTTTATATAATTTTACAACTCTCAAAAATGAACGAAGAGTTCTCAGCAGCAAACAATAATTCTCGTCCGGCCGCAGGGAAATTCTGGAAAAACAAAATTTAGTTTAGAGCCAATTTAATTCCCCGATCTCACACGTTGCCAAATTGTAAACACGAACACATTAAAGGAGATTTCTTGTTTGTTGTTATTTTTTTTTTATTTCAGAATAAAATCTTTTAAAGGAGAGGAAAGTGGTGTTAAATTTCAAATTTCGCATTCAACGGCTATCTCGGGGTTTTAATTGAAATTTGATTACAGCTCTTGTTTTCTTCTCTCTATGGTTTTACAAACAGTTTTAATTTCTTTTTTTCTGCACTTCTGTCGATTTCGTCGAAATCGGAAAGTCTGTACGTACAGATTTTCCCAATTTTCGCCTTTAAGTCGCAATTTTGAAAAACGTGTTCAATCTTAATCGGTTTGAAGGCTTGTCCAGCTCTTTTGCTTACGCGAGGAACAAATGGAAAGGCCTCTTTTATCATTTTAGACTGTGGTTTTCGTTTATTATCAGACTTGATAAACCCAAACCCACAAATGATTTGCTGTGAAGTTACGGAATCGAACGTGTTTCGTTTTGACAGAAAAGAAATCTAACTTCTTTTAATAAAATTTACTGAGGGTACAACCGCCTATCAGGATTGCCATAGCATCTTCTGTCTTACAAAATAATGAAAAAATTACATCGGCTAAGTAAACGTTAGGTTGCCTTTGAATAAATACGAGTGTGTTCATATGAAAGAATTCTACAGTCTTAATTGAAAGTAATTTGGAATTCTCCTTAACGAATGAAACATTTATGGCTTTCATTGTACCTCGTGGATAAATCACTATTTGCTGGGTTTTGTGTGACGAAATTCTAATATATTTATTGTTAATTTACTGATATATGAAAATATCGCCCACGAAATACTCTTTCTGTACATCATTGCTTAATATACCCAGGGTACCAAATTGACAAAGAAATTATGCCTTTATTGGGCGCGTAGTGTTTTGACGCAAAAAAACGTTGTCGTATTTAAAATTCTTTGTGGGGGACAGTAGGGAATTATGAATGAAGCGGTCCATTTCAAAGGCAAATCACGGTATCTCCTCGTTTGTCTCAAGAAAGCTGTTTTACAAAACTTAAAATTCCTAATTGAAAGAATCTGCTCAAAGTGGATTGAATATTTTTGGAAATGCAGTATGATAGAGTTTTTCTGACAGGGAAATTGAATGCTTCCCATAACCTCAGAATCACTTTCATCCACGGAATCGTTTTTCACGAAGACAATTGAAAATTAAGAAAAAAGGCAGTGAAAGTATTGTTAGGCATCTCCATACAATTTAAATGAATTTGTTATGACTCGCAAGCTATTCTGAATGAAACTCTTTTTTTTTTTTTTTTTTTTTTTTTTTTTTTTTTCTGTTCAGTGTGACAGTTCACTCAGACTTGGCAATGCGAGTGGCGTTGAATTTCTACCAGTTTTTAGCGGAGATTTAGTCTTGACGAGTGCTCTAATGCTATCTTAGAGGTTCGCCTTTCGTAATTTAAAAAAATACTTTTTTTCACTATAGTATTTAGTTAACTGAAACAAAAATAAGCAAATGGAAATCATAAACAGGCAGCCACCCTAATAGTTTACTGACCATGAAACCTCCATATCCATTAAGCAGATCGATAGAAGTTGAAATGAACCTTGAAAAAAAGGTGTCTAGGTAATTGGTCCCCCAACGAGAAATAAATGCACATATTGCTTTGATTTTTTGTTGCTAGTTAACAACAGGGACGTTTAGAAAAATTTCTAGACAAATTTCAAAATTAATTGGAAAACGATAAGAGAGAAGGTCGGAAATATGCGTCGACTATGTGCAATTAACTTCTAAGAATCTGATAGTATCAAGACTTTGCGTAGGAGGTCTCTGGCCTTTGTCTCTCTCTGTCAGTTAAAAATGGGAGAAGATAAAAGAAGTGTGGCAATTGTTGAGATTTTAAAACAATATGAAAACTCTAGAAGCGAAATATGTATGCAATGATTTAAATTTTGAGATGACTATCTGAATCTGAATCTGTGAGTTTTAACCCACAGTTGGAACCACCGAGAATTTGGTTATTTCAATTGTGTATTTTCAGTTTTCAGGTCTTGTGACAAATTTGTACTTCGCTCCACATTTCTAAGAACAACCGTGAAAACGAGCGAGGTATTGAATAGATGAATGTGTAAGTGAGTAAGTGAGTGAGTGAGTCAGTTGATGAGTTAGCGAGCAAGTAATTGAATGACTGAGCTTTTGTTAGAGACTATCATTTTTTTTAAACGAGATTGGGTAGATGGGAACTTAATGGAACACTAAACGGTACGACAAGCCATACAGTGTTGTCCAACCTTTCATCACGCTAATGATTTCTATTTAATTCATCAACGCAAACGCCGCGAATTTAGTTGGCACGTAAATTAGACGAAGGGCTCTTTAAAAACCAAAAATTTCTAGTTTTGCCAAAAGATATATTTTTGAGTTAAAATATTAGCGATGGTTACCATTGATGTGTTGTAAAAAAGTATTCGTTTCAAAAGAGTTTGATAGACTGTTTCCACTAATTATTTTTTCATTATACTTCGAGAGGTGAGCAAAACCAAGGCAATCTCTGATTACTTTCGACACTGAATTGAGATTGCCTTGGTTTTGCCGAGAGCTTTTTCATAAAATACTTATTTTTATTAATCAAAATATAACGTGATTAAGCATTACAGAGAGGAAGAGGAATAAATTTTCTTTTTAATTTCCCCCATGAAGGCACCGATGAACCCATGCACTTTATTTTAGTGAAACGCACGGAACTGTGTTTTTTTTTTCTCTTTTAAGGTAATGGCTCTCTCTTATCACTTCTTGACTAAAACCATTAACTGCCAAACTAAAATATCAACAGACAGAGGAGCAATTATACGATATGTCTATCAATCGTATTCGAATGTACATTTAGTGAAACATTCAAATTGTAATGTGGGCTCTGTAATGGAAAAAAAGCCATTAACTGAGAAAGTGTATTGAATGAATAATAAAAGATATCTACTAGCTGCTCGGATTGCTCGTCATCAACTTTTCATAACACTCCCGTATTTCTTTGTGCACCAGAACTTGGTCCAGACTTGCAAGTGATCACAACTGTAAAGTTGGTACAAAGTGAAAACTCTTATAGAATACAAAACATTTGCATGATCCCATTAAAAAGATATTGCAAATTTTAGGCGTTAATGTCATTCGCCAACGAATATCATTCATTACATATGGCTGTAAATACAGTCATAAACTTTTGGAAGTGAGGGTCGATATGGGGCTGCGAAGCACTAATGTACAGTTAGAAAAGTGACATTTGGTGTAGGAACAATTTTCAATTCAGTGTCGAAAGTAATTAGAGATTGCCTTGGTTTTGCTTAACCTCTCTTTTTGATCGGTCCAAAACTCCCACCACTCCCTCAGCAACTTAGATGCAGAGCTAAAACCAATCGCGACTTGGTAGCTCACGTCTTTCCGCGCTTTAGACAGTTGGTCTGTTTTTACTTTGCTCTTATTGGCTCTGAAAAATATTTTTCTTTCTTCTTACTGGCCATTGTGGTTGCTTTGGTTTTGAGAAATAAGGCCTCGTTCTCTCAAAATTGGATGAGTTTCAAAACGACGTTTTCATTGTAAATATGCAACCTAGGATTTTTGCCTATAGAAACATAAAAATATAAACGTTTCCCGTTCACACTAAACTGTCACTGCTGTCATTCACACCGTACTGTGTCTCTGAGCACGCACATGTCAACAGCATAATCACACGCCGGTCAAAAATTCAAAGAGAAGTGACGTCGTTACTTTCGAAGGACCTCGTTTTTAAACTGTTTACCGTCCAAACTAAATTTATTAAAAAGCTCCTCTTTCAGATAAAAATTGTCGAACAGTAAAGAGAATGCTTCTTTAGTCCGAATTTTCTGGACTAAACCAAAAGGTCTCCATTTTTCTTAGTACGCAGTTATCATGACAATCGCTTTGCTAACCTTTACTATGCAGAAAGGATGCAAACAATTCGTGGATTTTTCGACTGAACTCCGTCGAAAGTTTCGGAAGGCTTCGAAGCACGTGACGTCGAAGCACGTGACGTCGAAGCACGTGACGTCGAAGCACGTGACGTCGAAGCACGTGACGTCGAAGCACGTGACGTCGAAATTACCACTGAATCCGGCGAATCCTAAAAAACTAAATATTTACTGAGCTTAAACATTTTCCCTTTTCTCTTAGGTTATGGCAAGATGGCTCCGAGCACGGTCTGGGGACGAATCTTCTGTATATTTTACGCCATATTTGGAATTCCAATCACTGGCCTAATGCTGAAATCGATCGGCGAACGGATAACAGAGACGACGGCAAACTTTTGGAAACTAATTGACACAAAGATCTTCAACAGAGAACCTCGGAAAATCTACCTTAAAACTGTAGCTTGTATATTCCTGATGGTAGCAGGTATGATCTTACTTTTGGCAGGTATAGGCAAAAGTTACGAAGGATGGACATTTTTCGAAGGAGTTTATTTCGCTTTTATCACACTAAGCACGATCGGTTTTGGAGATTATGTGCCCCAGCATCCAGCCAATAGCGAGAAAGATCACCCTGGCTACGTCATTGCCTTTACAGTACTCACATTCGTTTACTTCACATTTGGTCTTGCGGTCGTCTCCAGTGCCTTGCTGGCGATCAGTCGGTTATTCGAGGACGAGCCGCCTTGGGGCTTTATCTCTTTGATGGGAGGCGATGATGGGGAGGACGACGAACAAGACACTCTTCTAGCCGAGAAAAAGAAAGCTCAGATCAAGGACAAGATGGCGGCAGGCGGTAGCGCTCCTTGATGTCTAACTATATTAGAAAATGTATCACCTTACTTTCTGTGGATTTATTGTATCAATTTTATGATCATTACGTCGTCGGGGATCAGTGTGTTGATTTGATTTCGGGAATTAGTCATCCGTGGTCATGTGACGTCATACCGAGTTCCACAATCAGAGCAGATCGATCGCAATCTTAAGCAGGCGATAAAACCAGCTTCAGCATCAGAGGTTAGTAGGAGAGAAACATCAAACGATGGCACAGAAGAAAGGAAATTTTTATTACAGGAGAAGAAAACAGTCAAGTTAAATACTCAAGAGAACCAGTAAAAACTGGTTGTAAACTCAGACTGCAAATCAAAACATTGAATTCCTGAAGTTGGTCTGGAAAGTCGAGTGAATGGACACACTCATTCTCTCCGCGATGTCATGGAACTGAACTTGTGAGTATTAGAGGAGCTACTGCATTTCGTTGGACGCAAGTGACTCGTCTGACTTGGAATTTACTACTTCAGAGGATCATCAATGTAATTTAGGTAGGTAGTTAGGAAAGAAGTGATGTATAATGGTAACTGGTTTTGTCAAAAGCTCGACATGGCAGACGTTATACATTTCCATCGACAATTGTGTCACACTGACGCCAAACGTGGATACCACTTTTCCACTATTAACAGTAGTTATATCTCCTCAATTTTTATGCAACAGTCCTATTGTCATGTAGCAATCTGGTGTGACAAACTCTTGCTTGCTGCTTGACAAGGAGCAAATTAATTGTGTCACGTGTCTCGTGTCGCGTGTCGTGCATGTAGAAGGCAAATTGACTAACTAAAACAACAAAGTTCTCAGTCACCAAGAAGGAAATCAAATACCTTGATCATTTAAGCAATATAGTTATTTTTGTAACAATTTATTAAACTTAATATCAGTGTCTAAACTTAAACGATCACTTCTGTTTGTTATCTTCATACTCCTTTAATGCAGGTCAGATTGGCTCATCGAGTTTCATTTTCTTTAAATTTCTTATCAGAAATAGAACAACTTTTCTGCAGAGGGTAATTAACAAATTACTGCGTTACTTTTACTAGCTACAATGATATCAGCAATCCCCACTTTCAGCCACAATCTTAGTAGCACATCATCGTCAATGTGTAATGTAACGAATTTTAGAAATTTAGGGAATTAAGGTGGGAGTCCGTGAAATTAGTCTAAAGTTTCTTCAGAAATGACCGAGCGGTGTTTAGGACATTTGCCACTTAGTAAGTTATTTGGCATTGGTCCCAAAAAACCGTCCGGTGCTAATTTGAACTCAGAATCGTCGCATTCGAGCTTGCAACAATAAACTTTTGTTACTCTTTAGAAACCTTTATTTTCCTAAATTCAGAGGCATCACTAAACATGTAAATGCATCGGCTGAATACAGCATCCACCTTTAAAATTTTAATTCTATATACTTCCGCTGACTTGTGTTCATATCCAGTCTTTCAGCCTTCAAAGGCAAGCCTAGTTTGCAGACGATTTTCTGGCACAAGCTAACTTATCGTACTTTACAGTTTTACAAATTACGTTGTACATTGATGTTTTGAAAACTCTATAACAAGGCAAATCCAGTTTTAGTTTGAAAAAAGAAAGTATTTCTTTACTTAGTAAGGGACAGACCATAACATGATACACTGCTTATTCTAAGGATATATCGTAGATTTAGGATCGTGTGACTCTGGAAGTCACATCCAACGCCTCAGGCAAGGCATTATATAGTAGGTCCTAAAGTATCTTAAGTTTATGAAACTTTAAGGAATGGGGTAATATCTTACTTGAAATCAGATAGAAAACAAAACAAAAGAAAAACAAGACAAAACAAAAAACATCGCAGGTGTATGACAGTTACTATGTAAACTTAGGATAGTGTCACTTTGCTCGCGGTTGCAACGTCAAATACTACAAAACAACAACATCATTTGCCGAATGAGGCCACATTGGAATTTAAGGGTGCCTTGATGTATGAGATGCGCATGACTGTCTTCCCTGGAAGTTTAAGACGCACGCAATTGCGTTTCTTAAATTTCTGACTCAAAAAATGAATTAAAAACCCAAGAAAATTGAGTATCAGCGACGTGAATGACCTTTCGTTCTGAAAATATCAAGGTATTTGGCGTTGCAACCTAGACAAGATATTTCAGAGTTGGAAATAGAAATTCAGAATCATAAACCTCGATTTTACTTCAAGAAAAAAGTAAAGTAGTCCAAAGATGACAATTCTTAATCAGTTGATTTTCAAGTTGTTTGGTATGAAATACCTCTTTGACGGATTTCTGTTTTCAAATCAAAGGAGTCATGTCATCAAATGTTAGAAAATACCAGCACCGAACGACCAGTTTTACTTCGAGCGGCGTAGAATTTTCAGTAGAAGGAATAAAGGGGAATAACAAGCGAAACAATTGAAAAGGGAAAAACTTAGAAACGACATGAACGTGTTGCGTTCTGCCTAATTTGGGAATGGTCAGCCCTCCGTTGTTATTCATAATGGTCGGCGAAGATGATCTTTGTTCGTTGGCTCACCAAAGAACGTTTTTTTATGGTTAAGAAGGTTTTAAACTGATAACTGCCGGAACAGAAGTAAACTGAGATATCGTGTCCTGCCTCCTTTTATATCTTTGCTAGTAATTATTTCTATTTAATGATTTATTTTGTTATTTTACCATTACATCCTATTTCTTATTTTTCCGCTCGACTGATCACACATTGGCTTTCCTTGCGACGTTCGTTTATTTGCCATCAACGTATGATTCTCCTTTTTTTACGTTAAAGACAAACATTTGTTTATTTTTATTTCAAAATGTTAATTGAGTTTAAGGTTGTGGTTGTCGTTAGATATAGTAGTACGATGTGAACAAAATACCAAGAATATCAGACTCAAAGCAAAAAATATTTTAATACCTCGTGGTTTATTCTTTATTTTCAAACATAAATAAGTTGGAGAGAGAAAATGAAAATTATATGGAATGTGGAGTACAATGAATAAAAGATGAAAGACTATTTTTTGTCTGCACATTGTTGTAAATGACTTGAGATACAGGGTAAAGTAGGGGGGAGGTCACAGGTCTCATGGTGGGACGGGGGGGGCTTCCTGTCATCAGGTGCCAGACGGAGAGGTCTTTTTTACCGTTTTTTAAATTGGGTATGGGTTTTGGTTGTTAAGTGAATATTTCGCTTGGTTATGTGATCATGCACTGTTTTCGACTTCAACATTACACATTTCTGTTGCCATTAAAAATTTGTTGAAGTCTTGTTTTCAAAGGCTACTCGACTTCTGCACGATAAATTACTGCGTCTTTTTTAGGGTAAAAATGAATAATAGAGATTATTAAAAACTGGATCATTGGAGAATGCAATTCAAGACTTTTCATTGGCTTAGCCATTATGGTATATGAGCCAATATACCATAAACTACGATATGGTAAGCGTACGCATAAGCTTAAAATTGAAAGGGAGCTAAAAATGTAATAAAATTTAATAATTTAATGTAGCGTTTTTAATAAAACAACTATTCTACTCGCAAACACAGACGCAAAACACAGACCTTGCTACGATGCCTCTTCCATTTTGATTAAAGTTGATCAGAAGGTTGTTCCTCGACAAAAAGGCCGCGAGTTGATATTAAAGCAAATTAACATGTAGAACGAATAATTAACAATTATTCCACGAGCGAGCGTTGGCTATAATCATCTCATATCCAACAAGCGCGAGCGGAATAATTGTTAATTATTAAAAACTGGATCATTGGATAATGCAATTCAAGAATTTTTATTGGCTTAGCCATTATGGTATATGAGCCAATATACCATGATCTAACATATGTACATTGTAACATCCGGTTTCTTCTTACAAAATAAAGTCGAGATTTGTCTAATATCTTGGGGACATTCTATTTTTAATAAAACAATTATTCCACTCGCGCTTGTTGGATATGAGATGATTATAGCCAACGCTCGCTCGTGGAATAATTGTTAATTATTCGTTCTACATGTTAATTTGCTTTAATATCAACTCGCGGCCTTTTTGTCGAGGAACAACCTTCTGATCAACTTTAATCAAAATGGAAGAGGCATCGTAGCAAGGTCTGTGTTTTGCGTCTTTCTGGGTCAGAAATCCTAAATTCTGAGTAATCGCTTCCCGGCTCATTCCCTCAAAGTTTGTTCTCCTTCTCCATTTACATTTGTTAGCCCTATGCTTCTTGAATTTTCAGGGTGCTGTCAAATGTGCATCAAACTAAGTTTTAAAATTTCTCGATATTTTCTTTCAAGATTAATTAGATGAGATCTGTCGTTGTCGTTGACGTTTGTCAGAGTCAATGTTACAACATCAATTTCCTTTTAGAAGTCTTCTCTGACAACTGCCCTTTGTTCAAAAACTAGTTTACTGATTTAAAAATAGATAAACATGGAGTGTTTTTATCATTCAGACACGCAAAGGAAACTTAGGTATGAAAAGGGGTGTTTATTCAGCTTATTTTCGATGGGCGGATGAAGAAGAGATTTTGAGTGGCAAATTTGTAGAGATTATGGGAAGAAAAAGAAAAAACAATTGACTGGATGTTGTCTTTGTAACGAGGAAACGGCTCTGCTAAGTAAACTACCTTCCAAAGGAAGCTTCTAATGAGATTTTACTCGACAACTGGATAAATAGATCTACTGATTAAGTTTCAGTCAAAGAAACAGATAGTCCAATATTGAATTGAAAATTATCGTGTCTTGAAAGGAAATTGGTCTGGAAGATGGTGATAACAAAGAACTAACAGCGTGACGGGCCATTTAGGGTGTTAATTATGAGAATAACGACGGGGCAACTAGATAAAGGGAAAGAAATGTTCACAAAGGATATCAGAAAAGAAAGCGTTCAGTTTGCGCACCTGTTGCATGTAAAGCTGTCTAAAAAAAACAGCATTTACAAGACAATAGTAAAGAAATGGAAGAGAAATGTAAGACCCATCGAGAAGTTTTTCTCACTCGATCGAAACGGTGAGGGTCTAGGGTGAAAAAGTAGATCTGCAGAAAATCAGCCGTTTTGATTTTCAATTTCCCTAGTATTACATCCGAAATTAGACCCTGATTTTGTATTTGCAATTGTGAAAAAGTGAAAGAGTACAGACTACTCTACGTTTAAGTAAGAGCAGATCAGCGTTTAAGCAGAAAATACTTATAACAGAATCATTAGGTTTTCTTCATCAGTCTCGAGCTCTTTCGTGTACTTTAACTTTGAAATAAATCAAAGCGACCTCTGAATGAAAATACAGGAATAGTAAGTCCCACTTTTAACCTTGAAGTAGTTTATTATCAGGAGTTATTTCATGGTCATTACCTTTCGGTTTAATGAACTGTCCCAATTGTTAGCTTAACAATGGTAAAGTCAGTTCATTAGTTGGTGAGTAACAAACACCAGTGTAATACTCAATGCAGAGGGGACGGTTTATCATTCATCGCCTGGAAGTAACGGGA